TGGGCAAAAAAATGTGCTTTATTTTTGGCTGTACAGGGCCTCATGCATGCTATCACAGAGTTACATCCCCAGCCCTTTTTATAAAAAAATTAATTTTGAGACAGGATCTTGCTATGTTGCTCAGGCCAGCCTTGAACCTGTGATCCTCCTGCCTTGGCCTCCTGAGTAGCTGTAGTTACAGGCCTGCACCAATAAAAATATAGTATTTCTTTTTTTTGTGTGTGTGTGTGTGTGTGTTTAGTAAAACTGGGCATCTTTTCATGTTTGTGGTCATTTGTAGTTCCTGTCTTGACTATCTATTCATTTCTTTATTCATTTGGCTTAGTTTCTATTGAGTTAATCATGCTTTCTCTTCTTTTTTACAGTCCTGGGGATCAAACCCAAGGCTTCATGAATGCTATACAAACATTCTAATATCCAGCTCACCCTCAGCCCTAATCGTGTTTTTCTTCCTGATGTGGAAGACTGTTTCTTTGGTTAGTTAGGTTGACGCTATAATCTGAATCCCCCAAATTCATATATTGAAACCTAATCCATAATGTGGTACAATCAGGAGGTGGGGCCCTTGGAAAATGATTGGATCAAGAGGGCAGAGCCCTCCTGAATATGATTAGTGCTCCTACAAGCCCTGGGGAGCTGTCTTGTCCCTTCCACCATATAGACACAATGAGAAGATCCAATAAGACTTTGGCCCTTCTCAGGCATTGAATCTGGTAGTGCCTTGATCTTGAACTTCCATCTCCGGAACTATAAGAAATAAATTTCTGTTGTTTATAAGCAACCCAGCATATGGTATTTTGTTACAGTAGCTGGAAGGGAATAAGATAGTTGGTACTTTACTATATTTGCTGACTTTTTCTCCCATGTTTTAAATGGCTGTTATTTGGAATAATGATATAGCATTTTCCCTCAACACTATGATGAACAGCTAGGGATATGCACTTTGTGTGTGTTGGGGGAAAATTGCCAGAAGTGGAATTTTAGGGTTAAAGGTATGTATATTAAGGTTAATATGTACGGGGTCTGTGGTTGTAGCTCAGTGGTAGAGCACTAGCTTATGAGGCACTGGGTTCGATTCTCAGCACCACATAAAAAAAAATTTAATATGTATGGTTGAGCCGGGTGGTGAACGCCTGTAATCCTAGCAGCTTGGGAGGCAGGAGGATCAAGAGTTCAAGGGCAGGGCTGGGGATGTGGCTCAAGCGATGGTGCGCTCACCTGGCATGCGTGCGGCCCGGGTTCGATCCTCAGCACCACATAAAAACAAAGATGTTGTGTCTACCAAAAACTAAAAAATAAATAAATAAAAAAAATATTAAAATTTCTCTCTCTCTCTCTTAAAAAAAAAATCAAGGGCAGCTTCAGCAACTTAGTGAGGCCCTGTCTCTAAATAAAATATTAAAATAGAAAAGGGTGGTGCTGGGGATGTGGCTCAGTGGTTTAATCCCTGATAAAAGGAAGGAAAAAAAGGAAGAAAAAAGATTAATATGTATGAATAAAATACCCTCCAGCAAGATGGTACTTGTCATACACTCCTGCTAGTGGTACATAAGTGCTATTTACTCATGTTCTCAATAAAGTTAGATAGAATTTTTATTTTTGGCATCAGTGATTGCCCCAGGGGTGCTCTACTGCTGAGCCACATACCCAACACCTTTAATTTTTTTTTGAGATAGGGTCTTATTAAGTTGCTTTGGGTCCTCACTAAGCTGCTAAGGCTAGTCTCAAACTTGTGATCTTCCTGCCTCAGACTCCCAAGTCACTGGAATTATAGGCTTGGGCCACCAAACGCAACTATACTATTTTTTAGTTTGAACAATTTGATAGATGTACTGGTTTCCTAGGGCTACTGTAATGGATTATCACAAACTAGGTGACTGAAAACAACAGAAATTTATTATTTCACAGTTCTGGAGGCTAGAAGTCTAAAATCAAGGTGTCAGTAGGGCCATGTTCCCTCCAATGTCTTAGGACAAGAATCTTCCTTTGCCATTTTCCCTGCTCACGGTGTTTGCTGACAATCTTTGGCCAAAGATGGCCGTAATTCCTTCTCTATCTCCATATTTAGATGTATCTTTAGGTGATTTTTTTCCATCTTTTTTGTTTTATTTCTTCTTTTGGCACTGGGGATTAAACCCAGGGGTGTTTTACCACTGAATTATAGCCCCAGCCCTTTTTATTTTTTATTTTGAGACAGGGTCTTCTTGGATTGCCAAGGCTGACCTCAAACTTGTGATTCTCCTGCCTCAGCCTCCTGAGTCACTGGGATTACAGGCATGCATTACCATAACTGTGGCATCCATGGCTTTCATATAAGGACACCAGTCATTGGATTGAAAGCCTATCCCAATGGGATGACCTCATCTTAACTTATTACATCTGCAAAAACCCTATTTCCAAAAAGGTCACGTTTTAAGTTTCTAGGTAGGCCTGAATTTTGGCAGGACATGGTTCTTTTAGGACAATACATAAAACAGGGTTAATTATAATTTTAGTGTTCATCTCATATTGAAAGAGCACACACACTACAGTAGCCTAGAAATGCTGGTGACAAATAATGGGGCATATTACGGATATACTTGCTGGTTGGGCTGAGTCTGGGAATGTGCCCCACTTGAAAGCTCATCATTACCTACTGTAGAATAACAGAATAATGCCGCAGTCTGGCTGGGCACAAAATAATCGAGCCACCACAAAGCCTTGTAGATTCAAACAGCAACTCTTTATTCCCGAACTCTCACCAACACTCTACCCACACACTTCCTGTGAACAACACCCCCCCCAACCACCCCCACGCCCGCGCCAATTCTCTCAGAACCTCGCAAGAACTCAACGGAACGGGTGCCTGAGGCAGCAGGATCTGCCCTCATCCCAGCAGGATCAGCAGGATCCTCCGCCCTAATCCTGGAGCTGCCCTATTCCCAGCAGGATCCACCCTAAACCCAGAGCCACCCTAATCCCTGAGCAGAGTCACCTTTCAACCCAAAATGCCATGTGTCATTCCTACTTGGCTATGGCTCTCAGCAGAATAACTCTTCAAACATGTTCATTGCTTTGTTTTTTACCAGCACACTACCAGACACTTTGGGCAAAGTAGCAATCTTCCATGTCCAGAATTATACTCTACATGATGCCAAAATCACTTTTTATTTTTCTTGGTGCGGGGGATTGAACCAAGGAACACTCTTACTCCCCAGACCTCTTTTTAAATTTAGAGATAGGGTCTTCTTAAGTTGCTGAGGCTGACCTCAAACTTGTAATTCTTCTGCCTCAGTCTCAAAAGTTGCTGGGATTACAGGCCTGTACCACAGTGCTGGTACTGAAATCATTCTTAAAAGTCAGACTAGAGCTGGGGATATTAGTTCAATGGTGGAGCATTTGCCTAGCATGTGTGAGGCCCTGGGTTTTACCCCTGTGCTGCAGAAAATAAAGAAATGAAATCTTAGACAAGGCTCTATTTCAGGTCTTGATTTGAACCCAGAGCTGTACCATCTCGGGCAGGACAATTTCTCTAGGCCTATACCTCATGAAAATATGCCTTAGGTAGAACAAATATTTCTAGGATCTCTTCTACCTCTGTATGGGTGGAGATTTGAATGTTCTTCCATCAGAGAAGATTCTGGATGATCTAGCTCTGTCTGGTTAAATCATTCCAGATTCAAAGTGATAGACACTTACCAGGTCAGTCATTTTCCTTCCCCGGCCAAGCAGTTTCCCAGATATAAAAACAGGGAGTTCTACACTTTCCAGTGTTCTCCACTGCCACCCCAAACCAGAGTGCTCAGTTTTCAAGGTCTCTTTATAACCATGAGCTTTAACTAACAGCAGGGCATTGGCCTCCTAGGTAGACGCTTCTCTCCCACCTGCTTCCAATGTAATCATCCCGCCCTACCAGAGTGAGGTTTTTAATAAAACAGAACTTATTGCTCCCTTGATTAAGCCATTTTCAGTTTAATTTTTGCAAAATCCAGAATCTTCACTGACACATCAGGTCCTGAATAATCACTTCCAATCACCTTCAGCCTCCCAGGCTTAAGTAAATCCATTCCTCAATATGGTGCCTTCAAACCTGCTACTTCCTGTTTTGCCTCCAATACCCACTTAAGTGACTCAGCCTTATCACCTCCAGGTCTCGGCTCAGTTACAATGCACTGTTCCCCAACCTTTGCCCCAGTCTGTAACCATGTAGGATGGCATTTATACTACCTCGTCCTGTGGGAATTCAAGCCCCACAGTGCTACTTTCCCCAAACCTCCTGCTAGCACAGTGGCTACCCAAACTTTTGAATTAATGACCAGATGATGTTCCTTGAATTCCCCTTCCTTACATTCCTATTGCTCCAGGTTTCAAGCAGAATGCTCAGGTTTTTCTAGTCCTTAGCAACCTTGTCTCTGCCAGCAGTTTCCTCCAACTACCAGCATCGATAACTTCCCCAGCTGCATTAAAGTACTTTAAAACTCACAAAACGCACATGCAATAGGTATTTGTATTATCTCAATTTTAAAGATAAGTTCAGCAAGGTCAAGTGCGTGCCACTGGTCCACACAGCTAGAACTGCTGGAGTGGAATTCAAACCCAACTAAGCATTCTAATAAATTGAACTCCTCAGTGGAACTTTGACAGGAGGCCCTGCCCCAGCAGCTTACCAAGAAATTCAGCAAAAGGCAGAAGGCAGACTAAAGACTGAGGCAGGTTTGGCTAAAGGCCCCAAGGCCAATTTCTATTCCTCCAGAGGCCATAGTGCTTCCTATGGCCAAGAGAGTAAGGTCACCTCTGTGAGACTTAAGAATGTAACTAACAGTTTTGAGACCCAATGTTGAAGGTAATATCTCCAACTCAGGCTGTTCTGAAAACCAGAATTCTTTGGAATTAATGGAAAAGTTAATGGAAAACTCCACGTGGAGGAGTACGTGGTGGAGTCTGTCCTTTAGGTATTTGCAGAGGGCTTTAACTGACAAGTAAAGATCAGGTAAACAAAGCACCCAGTGCAGAAGCAAGTCTCAAGGATAATTTACATTTATTTGCGGATGACTCTAAACACACTTCAAACCCGGAAGAAGTTAAAGAGTCTGTTTGTTAGGTGGAGCCATTTCTTGCCAACAGCTACCAGCGGTCCCTGAAGAATACTTGAGAATCATCTTCAGGCTGAGGCCCCAGTTCTGGGCAAACAGCTGGTGGGTGGATCTGGTCCTTTCATTTCCTTGGAGGTGAGAAACTACTCTTTGTTCTCGTACTTGTGCTTGATATGTTTCCACAGTTTCTGCATTTAAAAGACAAGAACCATAAACTGTAACCTGTGCTCTCACATTTTACAACTACTCCACAAACTAAGCAACTAAAACAAACTTGAGAGAAACCAGTTTCATGGTCTGATTAAAAATGTGCAGCTGTGGTGGGCAGAATGGAAGCAACACTAGGTTTGACACACAATTCTAAATATTTATAAAATACTTTGAAGCTGGAATGGACAATCCTACTTTTATAGGGAATGGAAACACATATTAAGAGAATGGCTCCGAAGAACACAATTATTAAGAAACAGCTTGGAAGCCAGGTGTGGTGGCACGTGCCTGTAATCCCAATGGCTCAGGAGGCTGAAGCAGGATGATTGCAAGTTCAAAGCCAGCCTCAGCAACATAGCGAGACCCTATCTCAAAATAAAAAATAAAAAAAGGTTCGGCATGTGGCTCAGTGGGTTTAAATGCTGTGGATTCAATCCGTGGTTTAAAAAAAAAAAAAAAAAAGGCCTAAAAGATGTCTCCATTCTTTGACTCCCAGGTACTACTGTCCTACGTGCACAGTTCCCAAATGTTTTACATTGAGTTTTGTTTACTCAACCTAAACTGACTGAGATTATCATTCTTTTTTTTTTTTTTTTTTTAGAGAGAGAGGGAGAATTTTTAATATTTTCCGGCGGACACAACATCTTTGTTTGTATGTGGTGCTGAGGATCAAACCCGGGCCGCACAAAGCCAGGCAAGCACGCTACAGCTTGAGCCACATCCCCGGCCCGGAGATTATCATTCTTAAAAGCACAGGAAAATAGGTGGGTTGGGCTGGGGATGTGGCTCAAGCGGTAGTGCGCTTGCCTGGCATGCCTGCGGCCCGGGTTCGATCCTCAGCACCACATACAAAGATGTTGTGTCTGCCAAAAACTAAAAAATAAATATTAAAAAAAAACCCAAAAACCTCTCTCTTTAAAAAAAAAAAGAAGAAGAAAAGAAAATAGGTGGGTTATGACAGCATACTTAGATGCCTTTCCAGATCAGTGGGGATGACCTATGGAAATGCTTACAATAGAACACTTGCCTAGCATGTGCCAGTCACTGGGTTTGATCCTCAGCACCACATAAAAATAAAAGTATTGTATCCAACCATAATTGAAATAAATTAGTCTTTTCTTTTCTTTCTTTCTTTTTTTTTTTTTAATGATGGAGCAGCAGCAACACTTTCATGTGGGCAGGAAGTTGGACTGGCCTTGGGCAGTTTGGCATTGGTGGACAGAGCCTTCCTAGACTGTAGACGCATACAGCCTCAAATTAAAAACACAGGGAAATGGTGAACAGGACTATCTGCACCAGGCCTTTTCCAGTACAGTCACAATTTGATGATATAAAACATGCACAGAACCTAGCACAGCGCCTGGTACACAGCAAATCTAAAAAGGTATTGCGGTTGCCTTCTTGTTTCCTTACTTTCTAAGAAAGTAATGAATGCTGTTTTTCCAGTGGTACCACCTATCAGGCACTGACACTAGATCTATATTCCCTGAGGTAGTTACTATTATGATCTCTATTTTAGATTAAACTAAAGCTCAGAGAAGTTAAGTAACTTAATAGTACCGTTATTAAGTGACAAGGCCTAGTACTCCCAGATAGGCTCTTTTATTTTCCCTAGCCTCCACTCTTTTTTTTTCTTTCTCCACATTTTTTTAAATTAGTGCACTACAGTTGTACATAATGGTGGGATTTGTTATTATATTTTCGTATATGCACACAATTTAAGAATATAATATGGCCAATATTGCTCCCCAGCTAGGCCCTACTTTTAGTCATAAACACCACGTTGCCGGCGTGGCACACCTTGGGAACTGAAAGAGCAATCCTTTAAAGGTCAACCACGGTGTCTAAGATGTCCTTTTCACGATTGTTTCAATCTGCTGTTGACACTTTCAGGAGACAAGGGTCTCGGTTCCAGCTTGGAACTGCAAATGACTTACTGGCGGTGGGGTCCTAGTAAATCCTTCGCTCTAATCTGGTTTGGGTTTTATGCAAACGGACGTGTAGGCACGTGAGATGGGACATTATCAATACTTGCAACCCCTGCAAAATGGGGTCTATGGATTTCATTCATCGTTTTAGGATTCACACCAAACCGGGCGGGGGGGGATATCAGTCTCTCGGCAAAAGACGCCTATGGTTTGCCCTTCTCCAGGTGAAGACAGACTGAGCCCCGTCCCAACTCCACTCCCACCGTCACCCCTCAGCGGACCCAAGGTCAGCATGGCTCAAACCCTCACCCCCTCGTTGATGTGCTCGTAGATCGCGTCAGCGCCTTGATCGAAGGCGCGCTCGAAGAACACAGCGCCCACCGCGATGGTGAGGGCGAAAGTGGAAGTCCTGCGGAACAGCAGGGAATACAACTTCGCAGTAAGCGCCGGGGCCGCCATGTTTCCTCACAGCCGAACTCGAGCCACCGCGCCTGCGCCGAAGCCGACCTCGCTCTCCAAAGGCCTCCACATGCAACGCTTTCTGGGATTTGTGGTTCCTATGAATAGACATGCTCGTCGTTTTGAACCCTGGAGGTAACTAACAACATGCACAGAGAAAAAATATCTCATGAAATTCAGATCCTTATAGCTCAAATTTGATAATATTTATTACTCAGTTTTTTTCCCAGGCCTTCCTTGATGCTTGAATATTTTAAACTACAACTCCCAGAAGCCCTCGTGTTCCCCACCTCCTCTCACTCTATCTCGGCTTGACTTCCCGAAGCTTTCTGGGAAGGGTGGGCCCAAGGAAGGACTACGAATACCATCAAGCAGTGCGCGACTCGAGGGCATTGGAGGAGGAGCCCGCAGCCGTCCAGCCCCGCGGAGCGAGGTACCTTCTTTGGCTGGACGTGAGGGCCCGAGATCTCGTTAGTCTCTTTCCCTAGCTACAAGGCTCGTGCTCTTGCATTTAAATCTGGCGTCCCGCCATTTCCTGGCATGGGGAGGGGTAAAAAGTCTAAGGGAACTGAGCTTCCGGGACCCCATCTGTCTCTCCGCCACTGCCTGCCCCAAGTGCAGGCCTAGAGCTGGCGAAAGTCCTTAGGGTCTTGGGGCCGAGCTGTTCAGCCTGGCCTCAGGGGAAGGAAGGACTCGAATGCGCTTTCTCTTCTCACTTCTGGGCTTCGAATGCAAGAATGCAGGCGACCTGGGACTAGAAAGAGCTTCTTTGGAGTAGAAAGAACAGGGCTTTGGGGGTAAAGTGTATTTCTCAAACGTTTTCCGCCGTGAAGAAGGCCCTGTGCTAGGGGCACTCAATCTACTTTGTATAGGCAGATGGGGAGGGGACAGTTAACAAAATAGTGCTTTGAAAAACAAGAGAATGGATGTTTAAGGTAGTAGTGGTGGTGGGAGTTTTGCCTGGGTGGCTGCCTCGAGGGTGACAGTTGACAAGAGTCCTGAATGATTATAGTAGAGGGTCAAACAGGAAAATGTTGGTGCAAAGGCCCTGGGGTGACTGCAGTCCTGGAATGTTTTAAAGAAAATAGGATAGACTATGAAGAGGTAGGCTGGAATCAGCTCAGTTTAGCCTTGCAACCCATCGTACGAAGTCTTATTTTTTTTCTTACTTGCATTAATAAACCATTGAAGGGTTTTAAACAAGAATGCTGCAAGATTTAATTTATATTTTAATGTCATCGTCCTGGATGCTCTAGGGAGAATGAATGAAGAGGGGAAATTATTGCTGGGGATCAGTTGAAGGATGACGATGATTTAGATTAGGTTGTGGATTAGAGAAACCATCCGATTTTTTATTACTTTAGGGAATAGGGCAGACAGAACAACTGGCAGATGTGTGCAGGAAAGAGAAATGGAATTTTGACCACAAAATGACTTAAAAATCAATGATCTTAAGTTCTGCTTTAACCACATTCCGTTTATATTGGAAGTGGAGATGTCACAAGTGAGTGGAGATCTCTCTCTCTCTCTGAAGTTTAGAGACATATGAGCCTGAGATAGGAGCCATCAGGATGGAGGGGCATTCAAAACCATGGACCAGACTTCAAGCCTGGCCCTGGCTCTTACTTGTGACCTTAATCGGGTCTGGACTTCTGGCCCTATTTAATTCATCTGTAAAGAGCAACAGTTAATTGACCCATGCCTATATTCTCAGTTACTCTGGATGCTGAGGCAAGAAGATCACAAGTTGTAGGACAGCCTGGGCAAATTAGCAAAACCCTGTCTCAAAATCAAAACTGAATAGGGCTGGGAATGTATCTCAGTGATGGTGGTATAGTGCCTCTGGACTCAATCCCCTAATTGAGTTGGGGAAGTAACTGTAATCCCTGGTTAGGTGAAGTGTGAAATGCTCTACATCTGGGATGAGTTATCATTAAAGTGTTATTTACTATTTGCAACGCATCCTGGTAACTCCTTGGGGCAGAAAATAGTGAGCCTGAAGGAAAAGATTACTTCTTGCTAATCACCTGCAACAAACAAACCTGGCTGATGGACAGTTCAGAGGCAATTATTTTAGGTGGGATGAATAGGGAAGAACACAGGGAGTGAAAGATATGGCTTATTCTCCTTTTTTAAAAATTTTTTTTATCTTTTAAACTGAAATTCTCATTTTGGAATAACAATTTTTATTTTTTTATTTTTTGATACTGGAGATTTAATCCAGGTGCACTTTCACCACTGAGCTACGTTCTCAGCCCTTTTTATTTTTTATTTTGAGATAAGGCCTCGCCGAGTTTCTGAGGCTGACCTTGAACTTGCAATCTTCCTGTCTCAGCCTCCCTAGTCACTGGGATCACAGGCATGCACCACCAGGCCCGGCAGAATAACAGGTTTGTTTTTTGGTACTGGGGATTGAACTCAGGGGCACTCCACCACTGAGCCACATCCCCAGCCCTATTTTGTATTTTATTTAGAGACAGGGTCTCACTGAGTTGCTTAGTGCCTCGCCATTGCTGAGGCTGGCTTTGAACCCATGATTCTCCTGTCTCAGCCTCCAGAGCTGCTTGGGTTACAGGCATGTGCCACTGCACCTGGCCAGAATAACAGTTTTTAAAAACCTAATTATCTTTAAGCCTTCACTTTCAACTTAGGAATTATTATTCTGTACATAAATCTAGAAAAGTAAGAAAAATGGCCTTCACTTTTCCTTTGATGTTTGATCTCAAGTTTAACAAACTAAATTCCTTTAAACACTCAGCCCTATTTGCAGCTTAATTACATTCCCTTAAACATTTTAACTCCATTTATAAATTTAATATATTTGATTTTCTTTTTAAGCACTTAGATGTATAACCTAACAAGCTCAATATCCCCAAGGATACTTGGTTACTAGAAAATCTGATTAATTAAACTTATAAACATACTGAATTTCAAGTTCTTGTAAACAATTTAATACTTTTTATAGACTTAGTAAAATTCTCTTGTCAGTGGCTTTTGTCTGTCTAAAAAATATAGGCTCTTTGTCTGACATGAACTCAGAATATGGGGGCTTCCTTAACTAACCTTTGTAGCATCCCGGGTGATTCTAATAGCCAGTGTTCCAATTATTGCTAACCTCTCAAACTAAAATCACAAGTCTAATATCAATTATTGACATATATTATATCAATTACTTAACTGTACATTTTAACTTTTATACCTTAAATCAGAATCACAATGCTTATCTGTTAAATATTTAATGTCAAATTCTTTTCAATATTACTGATACTTTTTTTTTTTTTTTTTTGTATTAGGAGATCGAACCTGGGGTGCTTTACCACTGAGCTACATCCCCACATCTTCAGCTCTTTTTATTTTTTGAAACAGAGTCTTGCTAAGTTGCTGAGGCTGACCTTGAACTTGTGATTCTCCTTTCTCAGCCTCCTGAGTTACTGAAATTTCAGGTGTTCACCACCATGCCAAGCAATGTAACAGATACTTTTGGTCCTGGGGATTGAATCCAGGGGTGCTTAACTACTGAGCCACATCCCCAGCTCTGCCCTCCTTTTTAAAATTTGAGACAGTCTCACTAGGTTTCTTAGGGCTTAGTAAGTTACTGAAGCTAGCCTTGAACTTGGAATCCTCCTGCCTCAGTCTCCCAAGTCATTGGAATTACAGTCATACACCACCTAAATACCAAGTACATGCTGATTTTTACTAGACTTAGTTCAGGAACCTTAGTACAGTGAACTTGATTTACTTTTCCACCTCTGTTTTCAATTCAGAACTTTTCTGGAGTATATGACAAGACACTTATCCAGTAGAAAATAATTTCTTACTCTGTAAGTTGTGCTTTGCATCTAATTTTTTTTTCTTTTTTCTTTTTTTTTTTTATTTGGTTGTTCACAACATTACAAAGCTCTTGACATATCATATGCTTTGCATCTAATTGAGATTACCATTTCAGTGAGCTGAGTTCATTTGTAATCAGACTGATTTCTGTCTGCTGGGACACAAATCCAGGGCTGGAGATGTTTACTGGGAATGACTCCCCACCCATAGACTGCCTTTGGGAGTCAAGGGGAGATTCTTTCTACAGGGTTTTCTTTCTTAGAAGATCCTTACTAGAGGTACTAGACTTACTAGTTAAAATGCACGTTTCTGAGTCCCCTTCCAGATCTGTTAATTCAGGATTTCTGAGGGCTTGACCCTTACCCAGGAGAAATGTGGTGGGGATTGAGCCCAGGGCCTCATGCATGCTAAGAAGCACTCTGCTGATGAGCTACATGCCCATCCCTGAAGACTTCATTTTTAAAATGGTTCCCCCCTGGGAGACATGGAAAATTTTGAGCAGGGGTGATTTAAGAGAGTTGGTCTGATGCAACCCAGGTGGGTAAACTGAGGAAGCTGGTCCAGATGTGAAGGGGTGGGATTTGACTTGGACAGCAGGAACAGTGGTAACAGAGGGTCAGATGGTATTTGAAGCCCAGACTGGGAGCAGAAGAAGGAGGCTACAGGGCAGTTCTAAGTCCATGTATCTCTTTTAGAAGTCTCTTCCAGACTATTTTTATCTTTCCTTTTTGGAAACTGAGCTCCTGGGACCTGTAACTATTTAATGAGAAACACTTGTCTTCAGCCTATAGTCCCTGGAGCCCAGATTTGGGCTCAGCCAACTTTTCACTGGGCCTTGGGGCATGCTAGGCCAGGTTGAGTTAGAATATCAGGGCTTACCCTGTCAGTTTTCAGCCAGAAGCCGCGGGAACTGTCTATTCTGTCCCTTTCAACCACCAAACCTAACTGATTTATTCAGGCAAATCAGGTCCCTGGAACCGTCCCTGGCAGTCTCCTGAGGGAGGGAGAAGAAATAGGATTTATTCTTGCCTTGTAGATTTCTCGTGTGTGTGTGTGTGTGTGTGTGTGTGTGTGTGTGTGTTGCTGGGGATCAAAGCCAGGGCTTCATACATATTAGGCAAGAGCTCTCCCACTGAGCCACAACCCCAGCATACACATTTTTTAAGGGATTTCTGATTTTAAAACAATACAACTAAATGTAGAAACTGCTT